CAGTGCTGTTGTAAATGTACAACGTTTAACTGATGTTAGTCGGGTTCGTGAAAACAGACATCGTCACTGCGCGTTCACTGATATGATGTTGTGCAATAATATTATCAAGGTCATTTGGACGAATCACGAGTGAGACGAAACAACATTGGTTTTGAGTTGATTTTAAGTACAACTGTAGAAGATTCTGTTTCTGTGAATAACGTTGTTTACTTTAAGTACATTTCCCAGTAAAAACAAAACCAGTTATCCCCCACAACAGGTGCTGGTTTTGCCATGTCTCGAACAGCCGAACACGTTCGTGGTCTAAGTGTCCGAGATATTAGATTTCCAGCTCCGGTAGATGAGCAACATTTAACTCAGCATACTATAGGATCGGTAATTTCATATATTATATAAGATAGAGCTTGAATTTTTAATTTTATCCATTCGTTTAGCATAAGGACAGTGCAAATGTTGGTGGTTTAATCTTGAAACTAGGTAGGCTTGTAATTAAAAAAAAAGTTGTTACTATTAAACTCTTTTAAGTTTAAGATTGGAAGGTATCTCCGTACCTGAGAAATTAGACATTGATTAATTTAATTCATTCATTGTTGATAACGACAGTAAAACAGTGTTATTTGGACTTACATTAGAAAGCATTTTATCTAATTATGTTAGATTTTATTTTCTATGGACAAACAAAACAGCGATTAAGGCGTTAGGTGTTGATGTCCATACAACTACTGACAGTGACATGGAATTTTTAATTTCATTTTGATTTTTGTGAAGCATCTGTTGATGAATATAATTTTTGGTAATTTGTATTTCATACCTAAAAAGGTAACGTAAAAAATAGAGGCGAGCCCAAAATATGTATGAAATTAGACGATCATATTGATCATTATTAGTACTAGTTTTTTATTATCTTGTAAGTAAAGGTAGTTTTTTCTAACTTTACTAGCAGTAGTAGTACTAGTACTACCTAGTGCATTGGAACCATAGTATATTAGACTTAGAGTGAGCGTTAATGCCATTGGAACTTTTGTTATTTTGATATTTAACCATTTTGTAAATGTTACATCTGTAAAATTGAGTCTGATTAGAACAACTATTGGTATCATAGCATGTCTTACTAGTAGTATTACTAATGTACACAGTGTAAGAACAGACAACTGTTATTCTGTAAGATCAATTTAGAAATTGTTAATTTCCTCCAAATCTTCATATGTATATATCCAGCTTTGATGATGATGTTTTTATTTTAAGTATTCATCAAACCTACTCTTAAATACTCTCTAATCCTGTTGCATCTACTATATCCAAAGACAATCTGTCTCAAAGGCTGACCTCACTGTTCAGAAAGTAAAATTTGCTTAATTAAGAGATGACTGCCAAATATTTTAATACATTTACCTAATAAATTTCTAATGATGAAAGGTTTTAGGGCTAAAAATCTCCAAAACCATCTATTGCATCAGAGAAAATTGTTGTTTAAACATATGTTTTTCACAAGCATCACTCAACACTCTTTGAGGAAAAATGAGAATAACTCATTCTTTTTTCCTTTTTTTTTCATAATAATTTGAAAGTCAGGATTGCATTAGCTTGACCCTCTAACACTTTTCTGTTGGAACCATGAAGGCTTCTTTAGTTTTTTTAGGTCATACTTACAAAAATACAGCATCAAACTTATACTACTTTGGAGAAAATGTTTCCAAAATCAGATGCTCCCTGATAAGAAAAAATAGTTCTTTTATATATTTTTTCCTGTCCAAACAAAAAGTTTCTTGGTAAAATGTAACATACATTTGAATATTTATGCAAATACAAGTAAGTTATATTTCACTTGATCATTGACTTGCTACATATTCATTATGTAGTGTGGGGAATAGTAATTTCTGTTATTTTTTATGATTTCATATATCATTTATTTATTTTTTCTATTGTTTGGTTCACTATATTTTAGTCATGGAGGGTGCTTTAGATACTAGCTCACCTACCTGCTAGTATACAGTTAACATTAAATGTGTGATTTTAATATATAGACATCAACATGAGATTCCACTAGTGGTGATATATGAATGCTATGTTCATCTTTGATTGTGTAAAACAAGTGCTAAGTAGTTAGTTATGTGTCATGTAATCTCATGGTCTGGAAAGGAAATATAAATCCTTAAGACTTGAAGTTAGACTGATGAGAGAAGTGTTAGGTTAGAAACTGTGATATGCAAGATATTTGATTTGTTAATATATATATTATTGCAAGTACTTTATCTTTCATTTGTGATGTAATTACTATTTCTTTTAGAAGTATCTAATATTTTTACTATGAATAATCTTCCAAATTAAATTTTTCTTTTTTAGCTTCTTTTTCCTGATTGGTTATTATTTGAGTGGCTTGGTGGTTAGGGTGCTTGATTTGCAATCTGCATGCTACAGGATCAAAACTCTTGCAGAACATGCTCACCATTTTAGTCATGAGGGTGCTGCTGTGTGATGGTTAATTTTACTGTTCATTGGTAAAGAGTAGCCCAAGAGTTTGTAGTGTGTTTGTACTGTGTAGTTTGACTAGCTACCTTCTGTCTAGTCCAGCATTTCTCATACTTGGGGTTACAAGACTATTATTGGGGGATTAGGAGATCATAAAAAAAAAGAATTGCAATAAATGATATTTTACAGTATTTGCATTGATTTGCTATCACGTTTTGGGTATGGAGTGGTCATCATATCCAAAAAAAGTTGAGAACCCCTACTCTAGTCTCTGAATTAATATTAAGAACAGCTAGTGCAGATAACTCTCAATTAATTTTCATGAGCTCATCAAACAAACAATCATTATTATTTTATGATTTGGATATTAACAGCATTGCTTCCTTGAAATATTTGTATTTGATTGGTTTATTTGTTTCCCGTTAAATTTAAATTTATTGGACTGATTTTCTTTTTTGTCAAAATTACATAAAATGTAGAGCAAGATTTGATCATATATAGTTTTGGATGAGACTGTAAATCTTTTATTTTGCAGTTCATGACAAATGAAAACTGCTTTATATTTGATTATTATAGTATTTGTCTGTTCATTTTCAAATGGTATGGTGATGGTCTAGTTGTTCTGTAACATTACAATTAGATTGTATACAGTAATCTCAACCAGATCAATAACGACACATCAAGTATTCTCTGGAATTGTTTATTAACACATAAAGATAAGTTACAGAAGTCAGTTTGTAAACATAGGACATTCACATGCTGAGTGGTGAATCCAATCAATCACCGATAGATTGCCACACACACACAGTATTAATAAAACTACTCGCATAAAACTGCTAAATGCAATGTCACAACCAATCAACAAACACCTCATACACCTATTATCGTCACTATTAACTTACATCATATGATTCAGTGTAAGCTTAACAAAGATTATTGCACAAAGTGTAAACAAGTAGGAAATTTGTAAGTTATTTTTAATAAGACATATTGGTGTGTAATGATATGATAATACATGATTGTGCCAACAAATGATGCTCCTGAATGAAGAAATGATGCTAACTTACTTCCTCACGTTATGATGCAGGAAAAAAATTATCTGGATCTTACATTTTAATAACAGATATGAAGGTCCCTAAATATTAATGTATTACACATCAAAGACCCATTACTTGTGACGTTGTCCAAAACATTTTTTTTCTTCTTTAATTGAAATAATATTTGTTAATCAAATGATATCAAGTAACTTATTTTATTAATGCATACTTTAATATCATGTTCTGTTTTATTTCTGAATAATATAAATTTTACCTTGTTTATTAATTCTTTAGTAAGTGTATATTGTATAATGCCACTAAAACTAGTAGAGTATGATCAGTTGCTCTAACAGGATGCCTCAGAATTCCTGGAAGTATTTTAAAAATTGTAACTGATGAAGCTTTCACTCAAAATATTAGTTATCACCTAATGGTAAAGCTCTAAAATAAAGAACACTTAAGTTGGTGTTTCTAATACTTTCATCAAGCCAGAAACTAAGGCTTAAAAAATTATACAATAGAATGCTACATATCACTGTATATGGAAAAGTTTCCCAATACATATAACAGGTGGCAGCCCTAGTTCCAACACCAACTCAAGTGAATTTTTATTCAAATAATTTACTAGATGCTAAATGAAATTACAATTCTTGAGTTCACAAGTATGATAACTTCTTTTTTGTTAAGTATCTCACAAAAAGCAAGAATTTCTCCAAATATTAACAATGTTACAACAATAAAACAGACTGATGGAAATTTCTTTTAGTTTTCAATAATAGCACATTATTACTGCTTTCACATACAATTTGTGATAACATCATAATAAAATTAGAAATAACTTAAGATACTTTACCCTTAAAGGATCGAAAGCCTGTAAAAAACTTTCTGTTGCAGGTCACTGTATTTCTTATTTATTAAGTCATAGACTTTGGCATTTGATTTCATAAATCATACTGTACAAATTCATGTGTAAGCAATATTATTAATAATATTTTATTTGCTTTAACAAAGAGATAGGTTTCAGTTCACTGATGGTTGACAAAATATTATGTAACATACATATAAATTTGACTAATCCACATCATGCTTCTTACAAAATGCAAGTTTTTATTTAAATAAAAATATTCAATCAAATTTGAGTGTAAGCTACCCAATAATGTAATAATAATTTTTCTGTATTTAACAAACTATTTAACAAACTTTAAGTAGTAGACTGAGTTGTTAAAAAATATCTTACTAGCAAGCACTAGTGTGTTAACCCTTTAGCTCAGTTGGTGGAGTACTCACCTAGCATATGACAGATCTCGGGTTCATACCAGAAGTGAAGAAATATATTGTGAAAAGTAAATAAAATTACCTAATTTACATTCCATATTCAACTTAATGCTAAACATAGAATAATGTTGAATACTGAAGATCAGTTAAAATATATTAAAGTAAAACTTGTTACCATGATTATTTTTTTTATAGCGTAGACTTACTTTAGAGATACATTATAGCTTTGTCCTAATTCATCAAATTAATGTCTGGAAATACAGATTTCAGTTTGTTAACGTCAAGGATAATTTATATCATGAAATAAACTTTTTTGTTGATAGATTGGTTAAATAAAAATTATGTATTTGCCGTGTGAATTTTATATCCCTTCTTTTTTAGGTTCTTCCAGATTACTCCTATGTTTATGTGGAACTGTTCACTGAGATAGGTTTAACCGGACATGGCTATACTTACACTCTCGGTCGTGGTAATGAAGTCGGTAAGTATTGCTACAGTTTGCTAAAATTTCATCTAGCTTATCCTACTGCTAGAAACAAACATTTTCACACAATTACAATTTTACATCAACCAAGGTAATATATTAACTCTGTTCACTATGAGTAACTGTTAACCAACAGAACCACCCAACAGTCAGTACAGGTTGACCATCACTAGTTCGGCAATCAATAATACGGTACAATCAGTAATCCGGCACTAATTTCGGCTAGAACAATTTCAAATACAGTAAGATACGTGCTATTAGGTAAATACTTTAGTCTCACTTGAAAGTTTTCTTTCCAATATTTTCTTTGATTAAAACTTAAAGAAAACCCCATTTTATGGGATATTTTAATTTTAAGATGAGGTGGTTAGCTAGTGGGTTTGGTGTATTCTAACCTAATAGATGGAGGATGCTGGATTAGTGATAGTCAACCTATATTTACAATTATCTTATGACTTTGGCAATTATTAGAAAATTATGATAAAAAATGGCTATTAATTTATATTTTGAAACAAAAAAATTATCAAATATAGCTTGAAACCTTAAATATGTTAAAACATTGCTATTATCACGAGTCTTATAATTAGTAACACTGTATATGTGACAATCATGTTATTAAACAGCTGCAAGTTCCACCCATCACGTTTTGATACTACTAGTTCTCTTAATTACTTATTATTATTGGATTAATCACAATTTAACACTTTTGTTTTCACCATCATTACCTTTTGTGTAAACATACCACTGATTACACTGGCCTGTGAATTTAAATATCATAAAAGTTGTTTTGGTTTTAATAACAAATTTTCCATAATTCAGCTATGCAGATTTCAAAGATAATATTTATTGTTTTCTATCACATGAGGATTTTTTACAAATAGGAAGAAACAAACACTCTTACTTAGATCAAATTATTATTTCATTTACCACAATGAACCTTTTTTATTATTATGTTTGTTAACTAAAATACAAACAAACTGAAGAAAAGAGAAGAACATTGATGTCAGACAAATATGCATCCTTTTTCATCCTGATTTTTTGTGTGAAATGTATGTCTTTTGATCTCAAAACTATGTGTTGTGGACTTTCTTTTATGTATTGCATCTGGAGCATCTTGTTTCAATGACCAGCAGTAATCGGCCATCATGCTGATGTTACACCCTCCCTGGTACCTCCTCTCCATTTCCGTGATGTCTTGATGAAACCTTTCCCCTTTTTCTTCACTGATGACACCGAGATTTTCAGGGAAATAGTCAGTATGCGAGTGTAATAAATTAACTTTCAAGCTCATATTATGACCCAACTCTTTGAATTTATTGAGCATGTTATTGACAATATTTTCATAATTTGGGTCCTTTTTGTTTCCTACAAATTTGTCAGTAACATCTTTAAAGGCAATCCATGCTTCTTTTTTATCTTTCCTCATTGTTCTTTTGACCTTTTTATCCAAAGTCAATTTCCTAATCTGAGACCCAACAAAAATCCCTTCTTTAAGTTTTGCTTCAGAAAAAGCTGGGGATTGCCCACATAGATACTTGAAACAATTGCCATCTTTGTCTAAGGCTTTTACAAACTGCATCATCAGTTTTATGTGAAGTGGAGGTAATGGGACTTTCTTTGTGTTAACCAAATTTTCATGTTCGATGTTTTTCGATCCTGATATCAGGCTGACTCTGTGGCCATTGCTTCTTTATGCAGTGCTGATTTCATGCTCTGCTGTCCCATTCACACAAAAACATGAAAACTTTGTATAACCGGATTGTTGACGCAACAACATACAAAAGACATTTAAGTCTCCACAAAGTAGCCAACCATGTTCTTTGTATTTGACCTTATTAAGAAGAAGTTAGAGATTTTTGTACATTTCCTTCAAGTGAACCAAATGAGCAATAGAAACAGATGCATATATGTTACCATTGGGAAGGAGAATTCCTTTTAGAGTTCTTTTGGAGGAATCAATGAATAACTGCCATTCACTTGGTTCATAGACTGCAGCTCCTTGCATTGATATTAATTCAGCAATATTGTAGCAATAAACCAGTGAACCTTCTTGTGAAAAGTATGGTATAAACTCTTTGTCACAATCTCTGTACCAGTAAAATGATGTCCCTGGAGAAAGTAAGTTCTGAGACCGAAGTCTGGACCCCAAAATCTCTGAAGAAT